ATAAGGCCGTTCAAAGTTGATTAATTGGTATCATCATCCTCCCTCTTAGTTAACTACTCCCGAAATTAAACAAGCCAATCAAAACACTTCGTTAATCATGTGAGTAAGTTGACCAATGAGATTTACCGTATTTTCGCGAAATAACGGGCATGGGCGTTATTTCGAATAATGACCAGAATTAAGCTTAATTTAGGCCGAAATTCATAATTTCACCCCTGCGCGTTATTTCGCGAAAATACGGTAATCAAAATATTCTCTCACGTCTGAACCCAAATGTTGACGTTAACCAACTAATTAACTTCTAGAGGCCTAACGATAATGAATTGATAGAATATACATGAAAAATGCCGTAGTCTCGTGATCACTCGATCCATAATTCAAATTACGTATTACGGTTAAAAAATACTAGCAATTTTACAAATGTACGTAATTACGTACATCAAAAGAACTATTAGTTTCTGAACAATCAAAATAATCGCTACGTTTATTACTATGTTTAAAAATTAAATAATAAAAATACTTTAATTATATGGGCTGTGTTCTACAAAAAAAGGGGAAATTGACAAAAAAAAAGATCTTCAGAAAATCAATTTTTATGTTATAAATTTTATAATAAATCATAAGAAAATACAAATTTCAAAAAGCTATTCTACAAGATTTTATTAAGACAACTACTTTGTGTTTTAAGTAAAAAATAATTTTAATTTTATTCTAAATTGATTTATGCAAAAAAATAAGTTTTGAAAAATTTGTTGATTTCCTCCTTTTTTGTAGAACACAGCCCATATAAGTTCATTGGATTATTGGATAAGATAGAATTAACATATAAAAAAAAAAAAAATCAAAGAATCATCCAAAGCTGATATATGAGGTAAATATAAATACTACTTGACTTTTAGGTGATTTTCAAACTAGCTATTGAGTTGTGACTAGTGATGTAAACCTACGAATTCAAAAACTAACATGCGTATGAATTAAATCTATTATGTAGTATGCTCGTAACTAGAGTTACCACGTGGACAAGCCATAATTGAAGTGGTTTTATACCGTTGAATATAATATTTTGAAGATATATTCACGTTGAATATAATATTAATGTAATTTTAAAATAGGTACTTTAGAATATACCGTTTTTAAAGTAAAAAAAATTAAAATCAATTATACACAAACAAATTTTTACCTCCTTATAGTGATCAATAAATAGAAAAAACAAAATAATACCAAAATCAAATAAGCAATAAAGTACTTAATTCTGTAATTATAGATAGTTTATAGCACTTACCATCAGGGATCGATAGATTTACTTGCTGAAATTTAAGATTATAGTTTACAAAATAAGATAGGTTTATTTATTTATAAAATAACATAATATTTAATCTTAAAGAATAATTTTTAAATGTAAATATATACCTTTAATTGCATTTGATATTCTTTGTGTGCTAATTTTTTTGCTAATGTACGCAGAGTCTGGATGTTTTGACGAGGTAATTGGTAATGTTTTGGTTATTTTATCAGCATCTGTGAATTGCTTTTTAATTTCTTCCATGATGTTATTCCAATCATAAAGTTTACTCCAAACATCATCAGCAGTAGGCCGTTTTTTTGGATCCGAATTCATGCATTGCATTGCCAATTCAATATAGCAGTTAGGAGTTCCAGGAGCAAATTCAGGCCGTAATCCTCTGCAAATCTTTACTGCAAGACCAGTATCGAATTCATAACCATCAAAAGGTTTTCGTCCTGTTGACATCTCTGACATGATGACTCCAAAGCCATAAATATCAGCAGCTTGTGTAAACTTTTGACCTAACAGAACTTCTGGAGCAATATAAGGCATGACTCCATAAATATTATCTGAGTCATTTTCGTCATATTTTTTAGACAATCCTAGATCTGCGATATATGATTGCATACTTTTTTCACTATGTTGATCTTGCAAAATATTGCCACTGTGAAAGTCTGCGTGAATATATCCTGCTTCGTGAATTTCCATTAAATCATTTGCAATATTTTCAAGTAGTTTTAGTTTAGTCCGCCAGGTAAGTTTTTGAAAATTTAATCTTAAATAATTAGAAAGACTTCCGCTATCAGCATATTGAAATACCATCAAGTATTCATTTGTTTTTGTGTTTTTGGTTAATCCATATATCTTAAGCGTACTACCCCACATTATACATTTCATATGATTCTTAAACTTTATATAATGAGTTACAGATTAGTTTAATATGTTTAACAAATTATTAATTTTAATAAATTATAAATAATTTATAGTTTAACTTACTTCTTTCAAAAAATCAAAAGTTTTTTCCTTTGAATCAGACAAGGTCTTGAGTGCAACCATGCTAGATGGCTCACGTGCTCTCTCATATTTACCAAACCATTTAAACTTGCGACTAATTTTTCGTATACCGTCCAACCAGTTAGCAGAAAATACAGAACCAAATCCCCCTTCACCAATTTTTTTAATATTATTTAGTCTATCAAATGGAATCCATTCAATCATATCCTCATACGTAATAGTTCTAAGTTGAAATTCTTTTATACAATAATCAATATCCTTAATTCCACTTGTCCATCTTTGAATCGTTATATCAGGATCACATGTTTGACACCATGCTTCAGATGTGTCACTTTCATTGCAATGTGTACATTTTCCATATTCAGAATTTCTTTATAATCATTCATTTGTATTATTAGTTATTTTCACGTTAAGTGATTCTTAAATTTAAATTTTACACTTACCGGCTAAATTAACATTAATTATAATTGATATTATTTAATGAGTAACATTCGTGAACTTTATTAGCTTAGGGAGCGGGCAGAAATCAACTGATTTCAGAGGGAGAGTGAGGATTTCCGATAGGTCTTTATAGATTTGATTATCAAATTTTAATCAGGTAGAGGTATAGTCTCTAAGTAAATAGAAATCACCTGATTTCTGCCCATGCCCTTATTTAAATACCAACATTAATTATCCATCTTTATACTCACTCACTATAAATAAATTAACATGAATAAAATAAATATACCGGTAATAGTATTAATGAATTTAATCAGCTTATCGTAAGTATCAATATTAATTATCCATCTTTATATATACTCACTAACTATAAGTAAATTAACGTGAATAAAATAAAAAGAAATATTATAATAGTATTAACGCTTGATTAGCTTACTTAAGTACCAATACTAATTACCATCTTTATACTCACGTTCTAAAAGAAAATTAAAACGAATAGAATAAAAGAAATATTATATAATAGTATTAATAAACTTTATTAACTCAGTTTAAGTATCAATATTAATTATTTAGCTTTATACTTACAAACTAATATGAAGAGCATTATATAAAAGTATTAATGAATTTGATTAACTTAATTTTATGTATCAATATATATTAATTATCTAAATTTGTACTTACCCACTAAATAAAATAAGAATGAACATTATAAAATAATATTAATGAACTTGATTAGCTATTTTAAGTACCAATATTAATTATCTATCTTATACTCACCCACTAATAAAATAAGATTATATAATAATATATATATTAATGAACTTGATTGGCTTATTTTATGTATCAACTTTAATTATCCGTCTTTATACTCACCCACTAAATATGAATAAAATAAATAATATTAATAAACTTAATTAGGTTACCAACATTAATAATCCATCCTTATACTCACTAACTATAAGTAATTAACGTGAATAAAATAAAAGAAACATTATATATAGTATTAACGAACTTATTAGCTTATTTTAAGTACTGACTTTAATTATCCATCTTTATACTTACATACTATGAATAAAATAAAGGAGATATTATATAATAGTATTAATTAACTGATTAGCTTAATTAAGTATCAACATCAATTATCCATCTTTATACTCACTCTCTATAAGAGAATTAACGTGGATAGAATAACAAAGACAATATATAATAGTATTGATGAATTTGATTAGCTTAGATACCAAGTATGCTCATGGGCTAAATGTGAATAAATAAAAATACGCTTAATGATAGATCATTATACTTACTCCCTAAAATAAACGGGATCGGAAACATTTAATTTCTAATTTTGAATTAAATTTCGAATTAATTAATGAATAATTAATTACTTGAGAAGCCATTCTTTAGATTTATCAATATCCCTATCTACACCAATTCCATAACTGTAACAAATGGCCGTTTTAAATATACCCATAGAATTACCAGCTTCAGCTGACTTCTGATAATGTATAAATGCTTTATGTTTATCTACTTTAACACCAATTCCTAAGTAATAACATTGACCAACTTGATACATTCCGTTAGAATTATTCATTTCTGCTGATTTTTGATAATGAATAAATGCCTTATTTTCATCTTTTTCAATTCCAATTCCATATTCATAGGAATAACTGAGCCAGAATATTCCGTCTGGATCATTTAAATCTGCTGATTTTTGACAATCTGTGAAGTTCAGTTGATTAAAGTTATCTATAACTTGAGTAATGTAATCTGATGTGATATTATCTTTTGTAGTTGACATTTTATTATCAGTTATAAGCTACTTACATACGTTTAATTGAATGTAGTAAATTTATATAATTTTTATACTCTACGTACGTATGTACTGTACATATGCATGTACGTTGTACGTATCTCCTGCATTCCGCTGTACTCCCGATTACGTTATCGAAAGAATTATGATGCTTTGTAATTATGTAATATTAATAATAAAATTTCTTTTTCATAATTCAGTTTACTTGGATAACGAAAAAGAAAGCTCATTATTATTTTTAATATTTACTTAATTACAAAGCATCATCGAATTATCATAAAAACTCTTTCGATAGCGTAATAACAATTAATCGGAATACAGCGGAATGCGGAAATTCTTGGGTCGCTGTATGAGTTCACTTGAAAAGTCAAGACAGCTATGTACGCCATCGTTAGCCATCTTTACACCATTTTTACGCCATATAAAATTCGGTAGTGACGTCTCTGCTTAATGTCTGCGACCTTAATATATTATTGTCGAGAAGAATGTGTACCACATCGGGATCGTGGAGTCAATTCTCATTTTACACGTACATACGTTGAAAAAGTCGTGGCCGAGATATGGGCTATACTAAAAATAACCAACTACACTGAATACAACATTAGACCTGGTTATTTTATGTGGTTTTTACTTTATTTCTTGCCACTACCTTCACTAAATACGTATTACGATTTTTACTAACCAAATAATGCCTCCTCTTTTTACCAAATAATTGATATAAAAGATTATACAGATAAGAGCATTTGAAAATTAAAACATGAATGAAAATAAAATGTAATTTTTTATATAGCTCAAAGACAAAAAACGAAACAATCTTATTTGACAAATAAAATTTAAACCCCTAATTTTGAAACTTTTCAATATTAGAAAGAAACAGCAAATCACAAGACTACCTAGTTAAATTATTCTACTTCATAATTCTTTTGATAAATTTTGGAATATTTCGTATTCTAATATTGAAAAATCACCGTTTATAGTTCTAATCGTTTTTTATATGCATTACCATTATTATAACAATATTCATTACTTGATTAATATCGTTTATCAACCAAGATCATTAGAACCAAAACATACTGTATATCAAAGATCAGAATGGCGATAAATTGCACATTCTGTAAACTTACAACTTAAAATAGAGGAATAAATAGTACCATTATCAATGAAAAATAAAATTATCATTATAACTTACCTAACCGCAAACGGATTTATCCCATTTGTTAGGATTATAACAACCAAGAATTCATAAATATTTTAACCTTCACGATTACAATAGTACTTGTTTTCTTGTCACTTAATTTCCAAAATGATTCATTATTAAAACTATCTCTAGCGTTGCGAATAAGTAATTTAGACACATATACAGTCAGACCTCCCTAAATGCAAGTCATCGGGACCAGCTCTAGAGCGTGCATTTAGGGAGGGTTGCAATTAGAGA